GTTTCTGCGCGAACCTCGTCGAGAAACAAATGGACCGCGCCGGCGTGGTGGTGCGCTAGTGCGCCACTCCGTTCAGAGATGGCGCCTCATGGCCGCTCGGTAGCTGAAAGCTCGGCGGATGAGGCGCGCGAGAGCGCCGAAATCGAAATGGCGGTGTCGAGCCTCTCTCGGGCGTTCTTACAGAAATTAACCCTAAAGGTTGCCGCGAAAGGCACTGACACTGATGATGCTAAACAATCTTAATAAACACAGTATAATATTTAGTACTTCGAAATCACTAGCCAACTCTGTTAATTGCGTCTCTCATAATCATATGGTGGTGTTGGGACGTTAAACCCCACATATCAATCAATCAATCAATCTGTTAATATGCAGCTGCAGTTAATTGCAGTCGCTGCGTTCCAACGTGTGCGACACGCTAGGCTCCACAGCGCTGTTCACTGACGTAGTGGTCAGAATTGGCAGATTAGCTACTAAATATGGCCATTCGGCCTTCCACGCGTCATTGAAACGCTACATTGGTGGTCGCCTTCAGTTCTATGGCTTTGTTCCTGTCCATCTCTTTGTCGTACCAAACAGCTAGTACCTCATTTCAACATCTCTCTCAGCCTCCGTAGCGGCGGCACACTGCATTATGCCTGTTTCACAGCTCAGCACGAGATCGCTGTGGCAGCATTCAAGAGGGAGGGGAAACGAAAAAAAAAAAAAAAGATAATGCATGAGTACCGATAGTCTTTCCCAACAACCCTGACGCTGTAAATCAAATGCTTCCCTTGAAAGCAAGAATTCGCGGAGAAAGGCGCCACTGATTGAGAAAACCGCCACCTAAAGATGGCACTTGACATCATAATTCTTTACACTAGGTCAAACTCACTTTTCTTACAAACTGCTGTGTCAGTGTTCCCCAGTTAACTGTATTGAAGTGATTATATAGCCCCCGATTTACGAGCAAGATAGATGTAAGGGTTCAAATATAAGGCCTGCTTGAGATTTCACTGCATCAGTAGGTGTGCACATGTACACCAGGCAATACAGGCTCTACGTTAGGGCACCTAGTTTTATACGAAATTCGATTGACACAGGTGTTTATTTTAGGGGCACCTTCATGAAAACAATATGTTATCAGCCTGGCTTTCGCTGAATAGAATCCTCCGACAGTGAGCACAGGCACCTTGATACGGTTTATGATATATTACTGCGCCTACCTTGGATATACATACGTATATCAAACCTAGGCGCTGGCTGGCGAAGTCCCACACGTGCTCTGTGACATCACAGACAAAACACGGTGCTGCAAGATACCGCAACTTGCTACAACGGCAAACGGCAGCCATGGTATACCCTTCACTGAACGAGACAAGAATACGAAATCAAACAGCGTCTAGTGCTGGTTTGCCTTTCGCGTTTGTGTGTGTATGTGAACGCAGCAGCAGCTGAATGTTTATGCTAGCAGAGGACAAGTTTATAATTCGCTCCACGCAGGGGTTTTCCTTATCAGGCGACGGGCGGCGATCTGACTGTGCGGCACGGTGAGCATTTGAATCACAATGCCGGTTTCTCTCCGAAAGCCCTCTTGAAACTATACGCGGTGAAAGTGAAGGTGAGGTGGTGAGAGTGCGACGGAGAGGGAAAAAGGAGCAAACAAGAACAAAGCGAAGGGTACCGGACCTCTGACCCGGGAGCTTGATGGACTGGAGAATTGTCTCAGATAGGAATAATTAGCGTTCCTAAGAAGATCCCCACCCGCAAGGCCCTTTTGTAGCTGCGCCGCCTTCTTGGACACTTCGTATTTGTCTTCTTTCCCTTTCTTTAAATTGCCCGTTCTCGGCTGCGCGCGACCATTAATTCCTTTCTCACTTGACCCCTTGTTCTGCGGTGTAGTCCGCCGGCCCGCAGCTTTGGAGGAGAGGAGGGGTCAAGTCATGTGGCGCCCCCCAACGGCTGAAAGCGAAAGCCCCACAGTGTCGGCACAGCTGGTATAGGGCCCATTGTTTCGCCACCGTGGGATTGTCTCCTGTGCGGCGGAGGGACGGCTATAGTTTCTTCCCTTGAAAGCGGCGGCCAGGCCTTGAACTTGACCGACCTTGCTCTCACCCGAACGGAGACAGTGTGTCGTTGGCGGCGGGCGAATGAGCCCGCGCTCCTTTTGTTCAGCTCGAATGGCCACTGGCGCACTCGCTTATGTCACCCCCCCCCCCCCTTTCTTTTTCCGCCACTTTTCATTTTGTTTGAAGCGCTTCCCGTGGTAAGCGTGGTTACGCGATGGACTAGCGCTGCCTTGGGCATGTCGCTACTTTATGCGTTTATTCATTTTGCCGTCGCCCGGAGGCCTCTCTGCGCGCCACACTGGTGATTAGTGGAGCGTCGTCTTAATAATGACCCTCGCGTATCCTGTTTGTGGGAGCCGAGAGCTGTCAGGGTGATTCCACGCGTGATGAGCGTCATAGTGCTTTAGCACGACGCATCCCAGCAGTGAAATTAAGGGTACCGGGAATCTCTTGACGGTGGAAACATCTTTGGCATCGCGGCCTACGAAATTAGCTAAACTAAGAAAGAAAAAGAAGAGAAGTAAAATGTGAACGCGCATATCGGCATGACTGACGGTGGTGTCGTGGTTAAATAACCTTCGCTAGGGTGCAATAGCCAGCAAAGCGAAAGAAATCGGCGTAGCGAACGAAAGTGACATTGAAATTGCCGCCAAAGGGGAAGGCCGACGAAGCAACAAAAACGCAAAGCACGCTCGGAGCAGTAGTTCACGCAAACCGCGACAGATGGCAGCAGGAGTGCAAACTGAGCCAGTGTGGCGCGAAATAAGGAAGTCTTTGTTGGCGCACGATGTCAACAATTTTAGCATCGTTGGGTTCGTCATTAAAAAAATTGTGATATGATCTTCGAGAGTCTTCCTAATCACTCAGCCTAACTTTATCACTTGCATCGATCATTTCATTGTCTGGATGAAATGTAAAAAGTCTGGCGCACTTAGATTTATAAGTGAATTATTCTGGGAAGCTATTCACCCGGTGTCCAATTCGTGTACATGTCTCATTCACCGAAGCGCGTTCAGTTAAGCAAAAAAAAAAAATGGTGAGTCGTGACGTCATAGCGCGCTTTACCATGTCGACTCAACGAACCCTCCAGTACATTCCCAGCGTAAGAAGAAACTAAAGGGTTGAAATGTAGAGCAACAAGACTCCCGAACAAACTTGAAAAGTCGGCATGTGCGTATGAACGTGTTGAGATGTTTGAAGAGCGTTGCAAGGAATGCGTACAGACCTTTCAGGGGTGTCAGGCAGGCGGCCGCATTAAACCCAATTCAAGGGCTTGCACGATCAGAGTCTATGCATGGCCTCAGAGATGTGGGTATAAAAGCAGATTTCTGGGGGCAGCATTCGTTGTGGAGAAACGCATTCTGTCTTTCTCTTTTTTGTGTCGAGAGTTGTGAAAGCCACGTGGCGTCAAAATGACGCTGTGGAAAACAGACCGGAAACAGGCGGCGCGCTCCAGCCAATTTGGAGAGGCCGAATCGGTCATGTCCACGAATTGGACACCGCGAGAATAGCTCCCCTGGAATCCCATAGAGTTCTTCGAAATGATATCCCGATTTTTACAAGTAACACAGCAGAATTTATTGCCTTTTTTAGTTATTCGAGGAAAGTGGCACTGCACGAGTTGAGGCCTAAACACACGTGACGATGTTTACGGTGTTCTGCTGCGAGATACGTTTTTTTAATGTTATGTAATAATATAGTTTTTTTCTACTCAGACCTCTAACGTAACCGCATAATATTGCTAAACAGCACCTAGCGGTGTTGTGTCGTATGAAATATGTTGTGCCCAAACAAATGAATAGGTGAAAAAAAAAAAAAGCTTATTAGACGTAGCGGTGTTTACGTTTGACATCGAGTGCAACCCATTGCGTACGAAGAAGTTACCCTCTATAGAAAGGCAATGACACATCAAGTGCGCCTCTATTAAATTTCATTTTCAAATGGCTCCCAGTGGAAACGACAGACCACGGTTTGTGAAAACATTGATAAGAATTGGCCTCTGCCAACTCTTGAGAGCGCACACTGGTGGTTCTTGCTTGACCTCTGCCGTAGCCGCACAATGGCGATCATGGCATCAGTGAAGAAAGCGAATTAGCCTGTCTCTTATGAGCAACTTCCCTCCATTTGACATACACAGCCACGCTATTGAGTTAATCTTCAACATTTGCAGCAAGTCTGGACGCTTTCCTAACGGAGCTTACCACCTTGGTTTTCCCACGGAAAAGAAACAATTACTCTGCTCCTTACGTAGTATACAATTTGACATAGAGAAGATCCGTTTTCTGCTAGGGGCTGTTAGCTGAATGTGAAGTCACTTGGTTCTGTCGCGAGCATTCCCTTGCAACATTTGCCGATCACCCACGAAAAGCGTGCCAAGTGCGAGCTATATAGAGTGCAAAAGCATACAAAATGATCGCACGTGCACGTAGGCGTGTGCAGGGTGCCATTTCAGGGGCGGCGAAGGGCCGAAAGTTCGTAGCAGAGCCCACCATCCCTATTAGGTCAATGTATGGGGCAGACTTATCGCCCCTATAAAAGGAGCATCCCCCCCTCCCCCCATGCACATGCTTATGCACTTACGCACTGGCGGACGTTGTTGCTACGCACTTACGAAATCGAAACCCGTTGAAGAACCTTAAACGTCATGCTGATGCCATATTTTTATTATACGCTGAAACATTGCTCCGAACGTCATCTCCTACAGCGAAGTTCTGCGCATGGCGCTGTTGATAATGTATACATTTCACCGAAGCTGTTCAAGCACCTACGTAACCTTTCAACGATATCTGCAGGTACCGATAACAAATTGCATACGTATACATACATGAATGAGGCTCAAACAACACTTACATTTCCCCTTTTTGTTTGGTTCTCTGTTATTCTTTATTTCGCGTTACGTTTCTGCAGCTTAAACCAAGCTGTTTCCTTTTTTTTTTCTTTCCCGCCTTCTAGATGCAAACAGCCGGGCCACCTCGTCTAACCAGAGTAAGTTTTGTACGCCTCTTCATTTACTGCATGGGCTCCTTTCGGTTGTGTAGCCATTGTTGCAACATGATCGCGCTACATCAAAATACTGTACTATAGCACAAATGTGCAAAAGAAAACTTCATCCGTTCACACGAAATACATAATTTTATGATCATGAATAAACTGTGAATCCCATTTAAGCACGCAGCTCCGTTATTTTCATTTACCACGGATATAGTGCTTAGTATTTCACTGCTGCCGAGGTTTGCACTGGTTTACACGATATACTCACCAAAGGTGTGCGCTTTCGTCAGAGCTAAGTCACCGAAGTAACATTTTTGGCGTTATTTTGTATTTTTGACGTATACGCCTCTCCTTTTCTTCCGGACGTAATTATTCCTGTCGGTTCAACATTTTTGTTGCGTTATTCATAACCTAAGGTCACGCTGTATAAATGGAAAATGCATTTAAGAAATATTTAGCTCGGTAACCATGGTGTTAACACACATATAGCGAGTGTAAAGGTGATATGACAAACACTGTGTGGCGTCGCCATACGTTGACAATGCCATGCGACGGACAGAAGAAACATGACAGGACGAACGCTATGCGCCGTTATTCCTATCATATTGTACCTCTTCGTCGTGTTAATGCTGCCGTACGTTTTACATTCAGTAATCAACCGACCACTCGAATGACAAGTTCCGCTACAAGGAATTCGAGTAGAGCGTACAGACATGCAGGCTTGTACAGTGGTCCTAGCTTGGAAGTTTACTGATAACGAGATGCTGATCAATTAAGGAACCGTTCCAATAATTAATACGTTGGTGTTAGCACTGTTCTTTAACACTTTAAGAGAGGTTGAAGAAAGTCCCTGCTTGCTCTTTCCTGCAACATCGAATCTTGTGGTAGACACTCGCAAACATGTTTCGTTACCACGACATGTGTCTTTGAAAATGAAAACCATCGCGGCAGGTTTTCCCGTTGTACACCTCGTTCGCACACATACAGGTGTCTTAATACATGGAGAAAACAAAAAAAAAAAACTTTCAAAGTTTTTTTTTTTTTTTCCACCAGCTTCGCATATGTGGTTGATCGTGTCACTGAATCATAAAGACGGATGGCAGATGCTTTGGTAGAATTAACCTCCAAATGGGCACCTAAAACGCATATTTTTTTTTGCTGATATTCACGCGTAAGCAACATGTTTAGCCCAACCGATGAACTGTATGCATCATTCATGAGTGTTTGTGGCGCTGCTGCTCGTTACGCTTCGACCTGCACGGGAATGGTGGGTAGTGCATGGATTTGCCTAACATCCGTTCTTACGGCTCCCTGCTTGGGGTCTGGCTCCGTACGACCTGCAGCTACTTTGTCGCAAAGGGAAGTTCAAGAACATTTTGGCCATCCAACTTCGCCACCTATGCCAATTCAGCCTGGCCAAGTGAAAGTCAGCAATAGAGGTTCAGAGCAGCCCACTGTTTTATTCGAGAGAAAAGCCAAACCACAACAATAAGCAAAGTCACTAGTGCGATCGTAACCGCAAGCACAAAGACTATAGGCTAATCTGCGAACGGCTCGTCAATCACGTGGTGGCTGAATGATCGCAGCATCATGGTTCCCATTTTGGACCCGTGACGTTGCGAACTCATGACGTTCCCTCAAGTAAATATTGTATGCAACACTGTCTCGCAAGGGAGGTGGCCTAATTGCTGCTTTATGTGACGAGATACAGCCTCCATTCAAAGTTCGCCCCTCGGAAGTTCGGATCTGACGTAACAGAGTGGTCTAATTCTCTGCGTGCCTGGCGTGCTCCGTTTCAATGTCACAATTCGCAAAAAAAAAAAAAAAAGTTATTTGAGATGTACCTAACGATTATGTATATCTCAAATATCTGTTTCTTTATTTGTGAAAAGTAGATATGCCATGAAACGTGGCTCCCTACAACTTCTCTATGCAAACAACTGCACTAAACTTTGAGGAACCAATTAAAGAACTAATTGACAAGAATTGGTAATTAGTCATTTCAATAGAACTTTACAGCGGCAAAGTATTTCTACCTCTACGACATGCAGGTGCTGGGCGCCTGGCTTTCATAACATTTTTTATTAAAAAAACATATGTAATGTCCAAAAACCGGCGTTTGTATAGCAAAAATGATGTGTAAATATAGTTCATGTGATATTAGAACCATTGAGCTCTGCAAAAGTCTATGTTTGGCAAAGATTAGAATGAACGGATAAAAAAGTACGAACTCATTAAATAGTGTAAGCTTCACTTCCTTTATCTTCGATACAGCACTTCGCAACGTGTAATGGTAATATTTACAACAATGTGTTTTTCAAAGCATGTATAGAGTATTGAGGAATGCATGTTAACGTGATTGCGTTAAAGAGCTGAAATTTTGCAGAAATTCCGGCGTTGGTGTCGGCGCCACGCCTCTGCTTGTATACGCAGAGAATAACGTCCCCTGTTTGGAAGTGCAGTGAAAGTAACACACGCTTCACAAACACACGCGTCCTGTATGCATGCTTCACAATGCAACATGAAACATTGCCATAATAATGCGTGGTACAAGCGCCCATGGCCATCGAGCGCCAAAACATGTGAATATCATAACGACTTCATGGTTTAAAGCCAGTAACCCACTACAAAAGGCACACACGCTACTATGTCTGTTCGCTTAAGGCCACATAGTGGGTGCATAGCAAGTTCGAAAAAGGTTTCGTGCACTAATTGTTTCAATTTACGCACTATAACCACAATATCACTACCGCGTTCAACTCTTAAAGGTGAAGCTTTAGCGTATGTCCTAAGTTTTTTATGTAGGGCCCTGGTGGTATTTTGTGAATCATGGCACAGGTATATAACTTTGGCATGGTACTGTGTTTCAGAACACGTCTGTCGTTTTTAAAATGCCCTCAGTTATTGGTTGAATGCAGCGGCCAAGTTCACAGGCAGAAGTGATAGTACCCACCAAGAAAACAAGGGCACTTTTAAGGACTCTTTTTTTGTTGTTGTTAGGCGCAACATGAATAACTCATCCATATTTTGTCAAACAGTTCTCATTCATGTAGTACCACACAAAGTAACATACTGTCATGCTTTGGAGGTTACAAATCGTAGTCAGAATGTGAAAACAAATAGATAAGTGCATGACCAGGTGCATTTGTTCACAAGCTGTAAAGAGCGTAATTAAATGAAGACGACGGAGGTGTAAGTAGGTCAGTACACTCGAAAATAGTCTTCAGGAGAAATGATTCGTAGTAGTGGAGCACATTTAGTGGTGATGATGCTATGCGCGCAATCAATTACACGTAATGAGTGATGGATTAATAAGCGTTCAAAGTTTCCATTAGAAGAAAAGATGTCGCTACGCTCGTTATTAGTGGCACTTGCATGAAAGTCCAAGAATTTTTTTTTAATTCTTTCGCGGTATGGTAACAGGAATGAATAATCAGAAAGACCACAAAAAAGCCAAAGGTTTTTTTAAATTGTCACGACAAACACATTGAAAAAAGTAATCACGATTTCTGAGTTTTCCTGCGCCATAACCATGATATTATTGTGACACAGTATAGGGAGAGTCTTCGCATTAGTTAACCTGCGCCGAAATGTAAATACACGTGTCTTCTTGAACTTCACCCCGTCAAAGTGCGGCCGCCGTAGCCGGGAGTCGAACCCGTGCCCTCGAGCTTGGAAGTATAACTGCTTAGCTATTAGCGATGAGTGTCATGATTACTGACGTGACAGTATTCTGCATACGTGTGTATTTCTCATCGGATCAGAATATGTGGTCTCGTAAATTATTTCAGCACCCACCAAATAGCTCAAGCATGCTATAGTGACCATCATCCCTCTTTCTGCGTGCTCTCAAATACAATCTCTTGCGCTTCGTGTCACCTCGAAAGAAGATTGAAGTCCCAATAAGCAAGCTCTCATTTGAGCTTCACAGATATGCAAGGTAAAGTGACGTCAGTAGCCCAGATGCGGCGCTTTTTCGCTGACACGATATATGCATATATATACGCGAAATAGTGGCACGACAACGTATAGTGCAGCGTGCGTAATTATACCAGACATGCTCTGCAGGCTATTTGTGACTCAAGCGGGTCAATTTCGACTGTCGCTATACTTAATGGACGCTAAGTCGACATATTTATTTGTGTGGTTGCAAACTTTGTCAACGGGCCTCGCCGATCATACGTCGATGGAGGTGAAACGCTAAAGGTCCCTGTATACGGTGCCCGCTGTCAGGACGTCAAAGAACACCAGACAGTGTAAGTTTGCGGGGCCCTTTACTATGGCATGTCTGGTAATCATACTGTCATGTTGCTTAAGCCCAGCAAATTATTATTAATTAAACGTTCTCAAGGCGCAATTAGCGTGAGAAGTTAAAAAACGGAAATACTATAGTTATATACCCCCGCGCCTGCACACACACACACACACACACACACACACACACACACACACACACACACACACACACACACACACACACACACGCACACACACACACACACACACACGTGTTTTTTATTAGCGCGTATACGTGGTACCGAAGGGGAGGGGGGGGGGGCTTATTTTTGAGAATAATGCCGGCAGACTGCGGCCGAGCCGAGGAGGCGTCCGCCTGTGATGCACGGTGGCGGCTGCGCCTCGGGGGAGCGCGCGCCCGCCCGATTCGCTTGTACGACGATGGAGAAGAGGGAGCGCAAGCCACCAGCCGCGGGTCGGTCCGTTGATTGAGCGCATTTCCATGATAATCGGCCGACATTACCCGCGCCGGGCGACATCGTGTCTTCTGATTTATATGCTACTCGTCGCAAGAGCGCCCTTCACCCCGCCGAGTCGGGGTCCGCTGCGAGGCGCCGTGGAGAGAGCACCATGGAACTGCGTTCGTAGATTGCGCGGCACGTGATACCTTCGGGACTCAAACCGTGGCTCCGAGAGCACGATGGCCGATTCACAGGCGAACAGAGGTTCCTGTCGCAGGATAGGACGAGAAAAAGAGA